CAATTAAAGGAGATATTTGTTGAAGTAATTTTGTTTCTTAGACTTGGACCTAGTCTTTGATACAGTACTGTACGTTATGTAATATATGCAGCTAAGAATAAGCTGACTAGCTTTCATATGAGAATTCTGCAGTTAACTCAAGGTACCTAATTGTGATTAACAAGGTTAGGATGTGAATAGCCATGTATGTGCATCCTCTTTAAAAAAAAAGCAAATGCAAACAAAGTTCTTCAACTTTCATTATTTCCTTGGGGGAATAATATGATGCTAAATATGTCATTAGAATCTATATTAGTTCTTTATTTGATAACATGTTCTAATGGATGCTTTTTCTAAGGCTGATACATACAGAGGGGTGATTTTCATTGCAGCATGACTAAAGAAGGAAGGGTTTAAGTTGTCTCTAACACTAGGTATAAAAGAAGGAAGATTATCAGGGATGGGACGAGGGTGTGAGTGAGAATCATGGGTCAGGGAGGGTGTCAGGGATTGCACGAGAGGTGCAATGCAGAAAGAGTGTGTGATGGGGTATAGGGTGAGTTAGGGAGAGTGTGGAGGTGCGGTGCACATTGAGAAGGGAGCGTGAGGATATGCAATTGGCCAGTGTAGCTCGACTGCAGAGGGGCTGGAGAAAGGTTCATGAGTGGCGGAGACTTATCCCAATGACCCGCGACCTTCCTTTGGTTTTCTGAGCAAACTGGCAGGGAGAGCTACAAATGGCGATGACAGGAGTGTGGTACCACCAGCACTATGAGGGCTGGTTGCAATCATTCAGCATCATGGATGGACTAGAAGACCTTCAAGGCCCCTTTCAGCTCTGGTGTTTTGTTATCATCATAATTTTGAACAGTTGCTGAATGAATGGTCTAGCTCAGGGGTGTCAAACTCAATTTCACTGAGGGCCGCATCAGCATTGCGGTTGCCCTTGGGGGACCGGGTGGGTGTGGCCAGAGTGGGTGCAGCCTACTGGGTGGGTGTGGATGGAGTGGGTGTGGCCTTCTGGGTGGGTGTAGCCAGTTCTACATCATTCGTGTCAAGGGGACCTGTGGGGGCCTGGGCAGGAATGGGACAGATCTGAGGGTCTCTGGCAGAAGGGGTGGGACCGGGGCAAGTGCCAAGGCATGGTCCACCAGGACAAGTGCCAAAATGGCCACCACAAAATTGTACATTGGCTCCCGGCTGGCCTAGGCCAGGGCCAAGGCAGCGGGGGCCGTTCCCTCACTGTTTCCAGGATGGCTTCGCGGGCCACATGAACCACTTTGCGGGCCGCATCCGGCCCCCGGGCCTTGTGTTTGACATGTCTGGTCTAGCTCAAGGACTACTTCCTTCCTCTCCAATGAATGTAAATACAAAAAATAATTCCTATCTTGCTAATTATTTTGGGGGGGGGGGAATTAGGAGGCAAACAAAGGCAGAAGTTGTGAAAATTATTAATCTTGTCAGTTTCAAGCCTTGCCAGCACAGGAGGGAACATTCCAAAGAGAAGTGGATTGAGAAAAGGAAATTCCTGATCATGATTTTTCACTTAATGACTATTTTGTTTAACAACAGAGGTAGAATATGAAAAAATGTATGATTTACAGTCTGTCAGAACATTTCAGCAATAGTTAAATACAACATATTTGAATTGTTACTGAGATTGAATCTTAGCTTGAAACACAGGATAAGGAGCCAGACAAACATGGCAGAATTTGGCTCATCTTATATGAAATACATAGAATAAGCATATTTTTATACCAAACTTAGTAGAAGTAAATTACAATTCAGACATTCTAAAATGCTGGTTTTTTTTAGCAAACTTGGAAGTCTTCATAGAGAATATTTCCTTGCACTCAAGATACAGCTTTGTAATACAATCTTGCAAGTAAGTTTCATTGAACTCAGCGGTACAAACTTCCATGAGAAAGTTCCATAGACTGCATTTTTTCAACCAAGTTTGCTGTTAAGCTTTTGTGTAGTCTTGAGACTACCTATTCTGAGAGCATTTAAAGTCAATCAGATTTAAGCTGAGGCGTTATTATTATCTTGGGATTATTAGCTATAAGCAGAATAATAGCTAGGACACCCTTGAGTTGAGCTGGAATCTTGATGGCTATATAGATATGTTTATGTAATTTTGTTGGCAGAAATATAGAAGTTGTCAACGCTGCTAATATTGAATATTCTTGCTTTGACAAAACATGCATAACTGTGGTATTTTTAGAGTTAATTCAGATGACAGAGTAAGGGAGGAGATTAGTAAGGAAAGCCTGGGAAAAGGAACGGAAGTGAATCTTTGCCCTCCAGGTTAATTGGAAGATGTGAATCATGACCCCAAAATAGGGGAGGGGAAATGCCTGGAATGTTATGTGCAAAGGGAAGGGAAATTCAGATCTTGGCATCCATCATGCCGTGCTGACACGCCTCTACACTAATAAAGGCTTTTTTAGNTAGCAAACTTGGAAGTCTTCATAGGGAATATTTTCCTTGCACTCTAGATACAGCTTTGTAATACAATCTTGCAAGTACGTTTCATTGAACTCAGCGGTACAAACTTCCAGGAGAAAGTTCCATAGACTGCATTTTTTTCAACCAAGTTTGCTGTTGAGCTTTTGTGTAGTCTTGAGACTACATATTCTGAGAGCATTTAAAGTCAATCAGATTTAAGCTGAGGCATTATTATTATCTTGGGATTATTAGCTATAAGCAGAATAATAGCTAGGACACCCTTGAGTTGAGCTGGAATCTTGATGGCTATATAGATATGTTTATGTAATTTTGTTGGCAGAAATATAGAAGTTGTCAACGCTGCTAATATTGAATATTCTTGCTTTGACAAAACATGCAGAACTGTCTGGTATTTTTAGAGTTAATTCAGATGACAGAGTAAGGGAGGAGATTAGAAAGCCCGGGAAAAGGAACGGAAGTGAATCTTTGCCCTCCAGGTTAATTGGAAATGTGAATCATGACCCCAAAATAGGGGAGGGGAAATGCCTGGAATGTTATGTGCAAAGGGAAGGGAAATTCAGGTCTTGGCATCCATCATGCCGTGCTGACACGCCTCTACACTAATAAAGGCTTTTTTAGGTTAAACCATGCCTGAAAGTTCTTTGAAGTGTTTCATTAGTCAGACACATGACAGAAGTGATTTTTTCCTGCCTTCTGCTTTTTCCCATCTTCCTGGTTAACCTTCAGTCCTGGGATTTGCTGTGGTGTCTTGTCTAAATACTAACCACGATTCAATCTCCTTAATTTTTTGATATCACTAAGATGTTGCTCCTTGATCCAACTTAAACAAAGCAGTGATTGTGGGGTAGATGATTGTTGTTGTTGTAGTTTGTCTGCAATTTTCTTGGCAAAACTTTCTGAAGTAGTTTGCCATTGCCATCTTCTTCCTAAGACTGAGAGAGAGTGATTAGCCCAAAGTAACCTATTTGGCTTTGGTCTGAAGCAGGATAGAACTCATGTTCATCTAGTTTCTTGCCTAGTACCTTACTTAATCCCTACAATAAAATGGTTCTTTCTATACACTATAGGTAAAATGATTCAGTTGAGCATGAAAGTTATGGTAACTTATAAGGTTGTTTCACTATATTCTTTAATTTCTCAGATGTTGATTTCATGCTGTGTAAGCATGAACTTAGAATTGGCTTGTAAAGGAAGGCTGTGATTTGGGGAGTAAGATTGTCTAGGTTCAAACTATATAGAATCATGGAGTAAGAAGGGGCCATTTTGCCATCACATCTGATTCTATTCTCAAAGCAGAATTCAAGTAAAAGCAACCTAGAGAGGATAAAATTGAGCCAACCACCATCATATTTAATGAAGGCCATGTCATATGTAAAAGGACATATGGATGAATGCAGTTTGCATTTTGAACCTCGCTTGTTGTTACATCCAATTTTGTAATAGATCTTGCTTGAAAAATATTATGTAATATACTCAGTAATATGGGTACTAGCAGTTTTCTTCTGAAGTACCTCATGATTGTTCCTCTTCCTAAAACTCTAAAAAAATTGCTGAATACTATTTTAAATTAGGTTTTGCTTCCCTAATTTATCATACCTTGGCTTGTGAACCTCAAGGCAGTAGATGATTACTTCCTTTGGCTCAGGAAGTAAACCGTATCTTAAAACTATGCATTATGACTTGAGCCTCAATTTGCTGGCCAACCTGGCACAGCTCTTTGGAGGAGAATGTGATGGAATGTCCAACAGTCCCTGGGGAAGTGAAGGAGGAGTTGAAACTCAGGAAAGTGGGGAAACTTAAGAAAGAGACACAAAGCAACTTTGCTTTACTTATGCTAGGTATAACCTGAACAGGAGAATTTATCTGGTAGGCTTTCATGCTTCTATTATATTACTCTGCTAGCAACAGTGATCTTTCCAGAAACCAGGTGGTTCTTGTTTCTTGAGTTTGCCAGTTTTGCAGGGCTTGATAGAGGAAGATACAACATTTGTAGCTCTTCTACTCTCCCACCTTCATTCTTGCTACTGCTGTTGCCTAGTTTTACTATGCGGCAGTTTTGCTATTCCTCCCTGCAGGTTGGGTGGTGTTGAAGCAAGCCTTATGCCTTTGTTTTCCTCCCAGAAAGGAATCATAGAACCTTATTTTTGCTATGTATGTAGGTTTTTTTTTGGTATGTATATGTGGGAGTGAATTGGAGGAAAACAATGATGTTATTGTGTTAATTTAATTCATTTTTAAAATGTCCACATATTTATGGCAACTGTTTTATATCATTAACCCTGTTTTTGTGGCAGTCATTTTGAAACTGTGCTCTGATTCCGAAAAAGCTGAAAATGGTTTCTTATCCCGCAAAAGACTATACCGTTTAATACATACTTCTCCCTCCCTCCTTCTCTTCTTCCGCTGCCCAAGAAGTCTTGCATGCTCTTTTTGGATCGAAACAGCATTTCTACCCCACCCTACTTATAGTTAGTTGAGGATGACTTAGGTTTCAGTAAATGAGTCAGTGTAGTTTTAGCCTTAGTCTTTCCCCCTCTTACTTTGTGTTTCAGGAGACCATCATGAATGCAATGGGTACTGAGAGGATTAGCCACATCATTGGTGATTCCTGCCAAAAAGAGTAAGCATCTGGGCACAGTAGATAAAGATCTAGAACTTTGGGATTGGGCAGGAAGCAAATATTCATTAGTTTAAGTTTATTATAATATATGTCGTAGATCAAATATGAAAGTTTATCCATGGACGCATCCATAGGGAGTGTTGGGGAAGAGGTGCAAATGATGAAAGCAGTAGCACACTGCAAACTCCAACTCTTTGTTTATATGTATCATAGCACTGCCTGCATATGTGAAAGCATCAGATCCTATGGGTGCTTCTTCTCATAATAAGGAATTAGATTTGTTTTTCACTTTATAGGATTGCTGAAGGACATTGTTTCAGCATATTTCAGCAAACAATGGTTGTGTTTGTTTGACTACCCACCCATCCCAATTCCATCTTTAGTTTTTAACGGGGTTACACTTCTTATGCAATACTAGTGTGCAATCTGAGATCGTTTGGACTCATTCCTATTCAAAAAGAAGGTGGCAACTATGGCCAAGAAGGCCTTTACATAGGTTCTTCCAAGAAGCCTTCAGACAGCCACTGATACCTTGTTTACTCTTGTTTGGGCCACTGTAATGTGTGGTACATGGGACTGCCCTTGAAAACCTCTCAGAAGCTACAATGACCCAGATTGCAGTGCAGTGGTATGTAGTAATGTCTGTTGTGCTCCACACACATATCCCTGTTGCTTTTGAGCTGCACTGACTGTCAGTTGGTAATTCAAGATGCCGGTTATTGCCTCTTCATGTCATATGGCCTGGCTCCTCAAGGGACCACTTGTCTCCTGCCTGTTCAGTGAGATCAGCGAGTGAGGCTATACTTTGGGTCCTATTGATTAAGCAGTGTCATGTTGCAGGACCTAGGAATGTGCCTTCTTGGTGATAGCTCCTGCTATCCTACAATGACATTCCCCCCCTGATATCCACACTATTCCAATCCTTTTGATTTTCTGCATGTTGTTAAAGACCTGATTGTCCTCCCAAGCCTTGGATTAAGATGTGGTTGAGTCCCTTTGGTTTTTGATTCTGTCTTCTAGTCAGTTGGATTCTTTTTCTTAGATATATGCTGTTTCCTTTTAATTGGTAAAGCTACCCAGAGTTGTTATGAAATCAGGCAATCTTGAAATTTAAACAAATAATAGGGAGCTGCCACCTGAAGAAGTGATAATGTATTTGCCGTTCTGTATTGACACAGTGTGTCCTGTTTTTTCCCACTCCTTTAATAATGGCTATTGGACTACTCCCCATTAGTTGAATCATATACTGCAGTCTTTTTAAATGTGCATTTATAAAATACACAAAATCCCAACACAAACAAACAAAAGGGATATCAATGCTTGAATAAATAGTATAACCACTTAATTATAATAGAAAGATACCCTAGTAGTGAAAATTTCAGCATTTTTGAAATAATATTTTCCTGGATTAGATCATCCTAATCATAGATTTTTGATGGGTGATATACTGAAATTTCTCTTTCTAAAGGGAAATTAGGGTATTTGTAATCTTGAGTGAGCATTAAAGATAATGTGGTTTCCATGGATGTGCTCCATTGGATTGAATTTCTTGTCATCCATTAATATTTAGATTAATTCCTACTGTCTTATAATTAACTTTAGCAAATCTGCCTTATGTGGATGTTTAATCTTTTTCTTTTCTTCTTTATGCATCACATTTTCCTTGTTTCTTCATTTCTTCCAACTCTGTTCTCCTGCTCCGTTCAACTTCATCTCTCCTACCACCTCTCTCTAGTTTCTGGTTGCCATCAATGGGAATGAGAGATCGCAACCAGGTAAGCTGGCTCTACTTTGTATATTCTCTCATTTGATTTCTATCTCTCTAGAAAGAACCAAGTGCTGGCTTCCAATTTCTTCCACATTGCAGCCTGGGTCCAAGAGGTAAGGCAGCCCCATTTTTTGGTCCAGCAGACCACTCTGGCTCCTTGTACCAAATAGAACCCAAGAATGTTAGCTTTCTACAATTTTCTTTTTAGCTGCAAATGTTATTTGCATGTTTCTGTCAATTCTTCTGTGTTTATGACTTTTCGGTCTATGCAGTCTTCTAATTTTTCATTCTCTTACCATATTTTATAGCTATATTTTCAGTCATGCTAATACCTACTTACGTACAATTGTGAAGCAGGGAAACAGGAATTTTAGTTAGGGTATTGTTTTTATAAATAGTGTTTACATTGAAACCCACTGATGTTGAAATCTCAACTAAATTATGCCTGTGTAAATGTTTAATTTCTGAGTGTGTAGATTAGTTCATATACCACTTACATTAGTAAAATGAAATCATATTTCATCTTTTAATGGAAAAGCAGCTCTCATTTTCAGTTTTAAATCAGCAGTGCTTGTCCCTGTTCAGCACCAACCTCTGTTTTGTTTCACTCTAAATAACGTTAAAATTTCACCAACCACTCTGTTTTCTGAACTCACTTTTGTTTTACATACTTAGGACTGTTGAAAGTCAGCTACTATTATCAGACCTTTTTTGGGTGAATTTGTACTTTTTAGTCAGAGAGACAGATGCAAAGGAAAGGAGAGTTCCTTTATGAATCTGTGGGAAATATCCTCTTTACCATTTGTTTGGATATTAGAATCTGTGATCAAATAATCTAATTTAATGGGATTATTTCATTATAGTAGGCTTGAGCATTTAGTTTTCTAGTTGTTTTTGTTACTATTTATGCTTCCTGGATAGAAAGATCTTGTAATAATTGAAGAATGTTGTCTTCAAAATTAAAACAAGGATTTTTTGAAAGAAGTTAAATGTTGACAAGAGTTAATTTGGAAGGAGATAGAAAAAGGCGTTAACATTAAAATTTGTAGGACTAATGAAGATGGAGTCCGTAATATGATCTTGTTCTATTGCAGTTTATGTTTTTCATCATTGTCTTTTGTCAGAAAGCATTTCTGAAGATTGAGTTGATCTAAACATTAAGCAAGGCAGTTGGGAATTACATATTTGAATGATTTCCCATCTCCAAATGAATGTGCAAATTTGACTTGTCAGATATAAATACCTAAGGTAAACTGCTTCTAATATATACACAGAGAAAAGTTTCTAACATACAAGAATATGATACTCTATTGACTCCAGTCTGAGAATTGTGCCACTTGCTTTGCTTAATGTTTGAACAGCTCACAGCTTTTAAAAGAACTTCAGTCACTGCCCTGTTGTGTTCAAGAAGAAAATCTATCTGTGAATAAGTTTTGGTATTCCAATGGCTCACATACAATAAATAAATAATAGAGTATGCCTTTTTAATTGTTTCTGATAAATAATTTATTCTGCTGGTAAAGCTAATACATTCAGTTCCTTATGTCATTCTTAATAACAGTTTCTGCTGTTATGTCAGTGTTCTGTTTGTAATATTAAAGAGGCATTTATGACAGTTTCCAGGCTGTCAGGATTTATGACAAGGTTGTCAACCGATACATAAGAAACCATGTACAAATGAGAATAGGCTTGATAGCCAAATAAATAATATTTCCCAATACTTTGGAGATATCTGGGAGATCTGGGTTGTGAAGCTACATCCTGATTCCTGATGTATCTTAAAACAGGCAGAAAACATTTGGTTCTCAACTGGTTCTCAATTTGTTAGATGTACAATTAGTAGATGTGGAATTGGCTCAGAATTCCCTATACTGGATGATACCATAAATGGTCATACGCTGTGTAGGATTGAATTCAAACATCTTTTTTCAGATAATATAACTTGGCATGCCTCTGTTTTAAATTTATAGTTCAGTCCATTATCTCCACTGTATTCCTTGGATGTTCTTGCTGATGCTTCACACCGAAGATGCTCACCAGCACGCTGCTCAGCCAGGTAATCACATGCTTTGTTTTCACATCATATGGAATGATACTTTTTTTGTTGGTTTTGGAACATATAAGTCTGAAAACATACAGTATATTTGTCCAACATTTCATTTCTACCATTTCTAAAGAGACTCTTGGATGGATATCCAATATGAATAATAATCATGAAAGTAAATATATGATTAACAACAACTTTACCAAACTAAAAGAGCTTTGTATAAGAAAGCATTAAAAGTACTTACTATAATGAAACACAATCATATTCATAGCCATTACTCTATGGGGAGAAAACACCATGGGATGTACCTTTATTAGGACCAACCAAATATTTATAATGATTATTTGACCAAAACGCATATAGTTTTAAAGAACTGTTTGGTTGACAGGATGTTACAAAAAAACAAGGAATAGGGAAGAAGAAATTTAAGAATTAGTTTAGCTGTTTTAATTTATAAGGCCTGCAGTATGACTTTTTGAGAAGAAATGGCAAAAAAAAGCAGTTCCATGAAAAGTGGAGCTGATGACCATATGGAATGAAAAGCCAGCAAATAGACCAGCTCTTCATAATTACTTTTCAGACAAGGAGAGGGCTTGAGATCACCCACAACTACTCCAGAAAATTGCTGCTCATGAGGAGACTGCAAGATAGCAGTCGCTGGCCAGTTTAGATATCTGTGAGATGGGGAAATAGCCATTTTGCTCAAGATGCAGTTGGCACCATTAAAAAAACACTGGTTTCGCATACCTTCTCTTCTAATCGTTTTTAGAAATTACTTGTTAACCGATTTTCACTTATTATGAACCTTTGGATTGACAGCTTTTCAGCACTGAGTGAGTTACCTTCAATCCATAGGAAAATAAGTTTTAAATATATGGGCTTAGGATTTTGTTTTCTAATTTTAGAAAGTTACAAATGGAATAAGGGTCCAGATAAATTTGAAAAAAAAATAAATTTGGGAATTAATTATAAGAATCTTTCCCATGGGAAAATGCATTTTTTTTAAATTTAAACCCCCCCCATGAGATTAGACTTTTAAAATTGGACACTAGAGGGAACTAGAAGCAACTAAAGATTACAATTAAATGAGAATGTTGCTTAAATTTGACTTACAAATGCAGAATGAAGCAAAATATTTTAACACTGGACATATTGAAGGATATTTTTGAACATGGGATCCAGAAATTAATTTTAAGATATAGATAGACTATTTACCTGATTTGAGAATGATTTAAAATGACAGACTACAAAAATGACTTGGAAAAAGATACTACACAGGACATACAAAAGAAACTTGCTGATGTCTTAATGATTAAAAGGAATATACAAATAAGATATCCAGAGAGTGACCTGGACAATTTTCCTATATTGGATTTTCAAAAGAGGAATTTTGTGAGAAGAGACAAAGAAAATATGAAAAGAAATCAAGTTTTAGGGTATTAGTTGAAGGGACTAAAGATCAGATGTTAAAAAAGGAAAGAATATAATGTTGGTTTACTTGATCAAGATTAAAATAGATATGTTGTTATCACTAGTAACTCTTAAGGGACTCTATTAACCAAATTTCAATTTCCAAATTTGTCGCATCTTACTCATCACTGTTCATGTACTATATTCTATTTCCATTAATCTCTCTTATAAGAATCTCAATTTTCAATTAAAAGTACAAATTATTCAGTTTCCCCCCAAATAACACCATACTTTCTCGGTTAAATAAGTAAATGACTTTCCATTTTCACTAAATGAAAGAAACATGAATAAATAATTGTCAGAAACTGCAGTTAGTTTTGGTTGCAGTTGTCTATCCCAATCTATTTTACCAATTTGTTTCCTTTTTTTTACTGCTTTTTTTTTGCTAGTTTTGTCTGCCTTTACAGAATTAGCAAAAAAAAAAAAAAAAAAGGCAGTCTGCCTTTCCAGGTGTGTTATATTACTGAAAGTACTATTGTCAAGCAGATCCTGGAGAGAGGGAGCTATGTATCATAGCCCATATTTTCTTTGCCTCTCAAATGGTTTATGATTTCAGTTTATTTTGGTAGCATAGTGATTACCTGGTAACCCACTGCTTCATTTAAACAGAGCCGCCAGCTAGATTGTTGAATATGAGGCCACAAGTGTGCAAGGAGGAGCTCTTTAGTGTCAAGGAGATGGCTTTGTTGAGGTTTCTTTGGAAGATGCAGTTAAAAGACTGTATAAATTGTACTATAGCAAGATTTCTTTTCTAGATTTCTGTCTGTGATGTGTTGAGACTTCTCTCAAAGCATTAGAAGCAGCACTGGGAATTCCACACCCATCATTAGAAGTACTCTGTGTCTGGTGTGTTTGGTGGCTGTTATCATTAGTAGTATAATTTTATTTTGCAACGTGAAGAGAGTTTTCTGCATTTTTTTTTGTCTCTTTCCCTGGAGATGGATGGTATATTAATTTGCTGTATTGCCTTCTGGCTGTTCCCAGGCTGTTTTTGATTCTACATCATGGAATTTTAATGGCCTGCTGCCTCTCGGGAGGCATACGACGAAGAGCATCTCAGGGGCTTCTTTTCCTTCTCTTCACATGCCTGTAATTGCTGCTCTTTAAGGGCACAAAGCATTTACTAATCATGCTTGCCTATCATAACTTCTGTTTTGACTGTGCTCTGTAGTAGGAAACATGAAGAAGTTGGCACTGAGCACTCTTCTCTGCATTATTTTTTGGTTTTGAAATATATGAGCCGCATTGTGACAGCAGACTTGATTTCCCCCCCCCCCCCACAATCCTGAATATTGTCTAATAATAGAATGCCCCCTTTTGAGGATGATTACAGCTTTCTTTTACACAAGTAGTGTGCTAAACCAGTGGCCCCCAACCTTTGGGCACCATGGACCAGTTTCATGGAGAGAGGTTTTTCCGCGGACCGGAGGGGGCGTCCTTTCACATGCTTCCTGCATCCCGTGGATGGGCTTCACTTGTTTGTGTGGCCCGGTTTCTGGCATGCTGCGGACCGCTGATGGTCCATGGACCGTGGGTTGGGGACTCCTGTGCTAAAACTCTAATGAGCTAACACTCATGAGGAATGAGGTTAGCTCCATCTCTGTTAATGTTCAGGAAGTCCCTCAAATCCCAAAGGACCAGTGAAATTTTTAGATGGCCCCATCACTGTGGCTGATGTTTCCTCTCTCCATGGCCATGTGGTTTTTATATTTTAATAATGACTGTTTTGTAATTTTAATAATGATAGTTTTTTTTTATAAATTCATTGTTTTGATAAATTGTTTTATGTCATCCAGGGTCATTTTTTGTGAGAAAGATGGTCATATAAATGTAATAAATAAATAAATAAATAAATAGATAGATAGATAGATAGATAGATAGATAGATAGATAGATAGATAGATAGATAGAAAGATAGATAGATACATACATACATACATACATACATACATACATACATACATACATACATACATACATACATACGCTATTTTTTTTATTGCTAACAGAATTAAAGGGGGATTTCTTCTTCCCATATTTGGGCCGACAGGGTGCATAAAAAAAAAACCACCAGTACATACATACCTACATACCTACATACCTACATACCTACATACCTACCTACATACATACATACATACATACATACATACATATCATGCTTAATGGTATATTTCCTGAGCAGAGTCAGTGCCTATTGAGATCCTTTATCTAAAAAACAGAGAAAAGTAAAATTTTGGACTAACTGGATGGTCTCTCAGATGCACAGTAGGTGAAGGTAATATGAGCATTTGGCTCTGTCAGGTTTGGCAGTGAAATGAATCCCTGGGACTTTGCACTGAGTGAGACATTTAAGTATTTTTCAGTACTCCAGAAAAATGTCTCTGGTCTAAAGGAAGGTATTAATTGTTTAGCCACTCAGAAAAATTTTTCACTTGTCCCTGCAGGTGGGTCTGTTAGATGGTGATACATGCTGCAAAGATGGAAGGGATTAATCACATGGCTAATTGTTAATTAATTACCCATACATTTTGATTATTAGCTTTGTATGGCTGAGTTAAGGGGCAGGGAGAAAAAGGTGGAATTTTTGTTTCTCTAAGACATTTTATTTGCCATTCAGGAGTAGGCAAGGTTTTGAATTAGGTGTAATTTTATACCTGGGCACTTATCCATGCTGTATAATGAGCTATTTCCTCGATACAAATATGTGATTATTGAATTGATTGGATGAACACTGGTTTCTATGTGCAGTGTGCAGATCAGACATGGTTGTTCAGCTATCTGGTGTCATTTCAAAGAGGCAGAAGAGCTCTGTTTTCACTATTAACTTTGACCTTTGAAGGCATCAGAAATAGCCCCAGGTGGTACCTCAAGGCTTAGAAAGGTATCTTTTATGCTGCCTGCTGTGGATGCAGTGTGTACAACAGCAATAGCTGAGCTGAATACTGTCAATCCAATACCCTTGATAGGAAATATTTCTTCTTAATGGTTCCTTTCCATGAAGGTAGCTGAATAAGTTGTTTAAAAGACAACTGGTTTCCCTGTATTAACACTTTTTTGTAGTGCAATTCCATTATTACAGTTCATATAATCCAAGTTATTTAAAATATTTCAGTTCTGATTTGGGTACTTTTTGGTAGAAAATTAAGGTAGAATTACCTTTGTAATATCTAACATTCTACTTCCTGCTTGCGAGCTAATTATAGACCCTTGATTTCTATGCATTTAAATCTATGTAGATTTAAAGGGTATCTTGGATCTTTTGAAAAGTTTTATTGTTGCTCAGATTCAATATTTCATTATGAAAGGACTTATTTCTTGCTTTCAATTGAATACTTTGTGTGATTATCATTCTGAGTACTGTATTTGCAACTAAACATAATTTCTAAATGATTTTTATTGTTTAGAGATGTTGACATTCTGACACAATCCTAGGGCATTGTTTTTCCTGCAGTTGGCAGTGTGCTAGTTCTCTAGAGTAGCATAAGAATGTAGTTAATTATTAGAAAAGTGAATATATTCATCGGTGAATATCTCCATTTCTCTTTAGCCCATCTATTAATAGATCAAATATGCTTAAATCTAATAGAAATGCTTTATTGTATTATTCCTCTGCTAAACATCTAGGTCCCTTCCTTACATTGAAAGCAGGACTTCTGAATTGAGACTATCCATGTTGTCAATAGCCATTGCTGCTGTTACAGTATTACTCTGAGGATAGCAAAAGTAGGTGAGAGAGTGGAGGGTGTAGTAGGCTGTGCATTAATTTTTCCCACTGTAAACCTGAGATACAATCTGTCATACCGAGGACACTTGAGATGCAGGCCAGAAGTGGAATAAGCCTTGTATTCTCTGTGTAGTGCAATGCAGGCTTGAAATAAATACTTAACACATTGTTAGTCCAAGCCTGAGATCAATAGGCTCTTGATTTATTAGCTAGAAAGAAAACAATCAATAAAGGATATATTTGAATAAATAGCTACAAAATTTATAACTTGATGTACCTATGTTCACTTCACTAATTACTTTTTTTGGTTTCAGCAAAGTATTTTTAGCATTATCTCATCTTACTATATTTATACTTCACTTTCCCTTGTTGATAATCCTTATAACTGTATGTTAATATTCCCAAGATTTTCTTAGTATCATTTTGCCACCTAAAAAAGAGGCAAAGCACTATGCATTGAATGGCCATATTTAAAGGAGATACACTGAATTTATGATTATTTTTCCCATTGCTTTTAATAGGACTACTATAAATCTATAAGTTGGATCAAAATCAATGTCTTGTTTGAGGG